ACATAAACACCTTGGGGAACTAGGTGTAGGCATTTGCCTGAGAGAGGCCTATGGCTCAGCCTTGTAAGAACACAAGGTGTTATCATTAAAACTCATATTACATTTTTGTCCATTATAAGGATTCAAAAGTGTTTTCCAACTGCACACAGGATCATTTTAGTGGCAACAGCAGCAATAGTATTTCCGCTATAGCGCAGGTGCTGCCTGGAGAAAGCAGGGGGTGGGTTTTGCAGGGAATTGAGCTTGCCTATGTTGTTCTGCAAGCTCCCATAGATGGGACTTGCCGCATTATGCCAAGAATGTGATTAAAACCTGGAAAAGCTGAAGCCAGCATATTCCCAGCGGCAACATAATGTAATGTATATGCCACAGTACTGCACACAAGACCCCTGTCTCAGGCTTAGCCTGGTCAGCTCAAGGACAAAGCTCTGGAGGTGACAGCATGGGGTGGGACTTCGACCAGCTACGGCTTGCCTTGTTAGGTTATGTTAGCACCTTTTAATGCTGTTTCCCTGTTGCCTGTCTATCCCAAGCTCCATGTAACTCTAAATTTCAGTAGGATGGAAAATGTACCTGCTGGTATCTTGTGCTGAAGCCCAACACTTCTCAATCAGGTTAGCTCTTAGGAACATAACGTAGCCCCATGTTAGCCACGTCTCTGTTTTTTGCCTATTCGGAATGCTCTAAATCTCTGGCACCCCCTATTGTGAACCATTGGTTTAAACCCCATTAAGGCCACTTAAGTCCTTTATTCTTCCAAGAGAAATGAGCTGAGTTGCAGGTGGGTCTTTAAAATGAGGTTTGTAAAAGATGTGATTCTATCTGCTGCCCATGGAAGTTAGACACCAGTGGCCCTTGACACCCCTCCGTGTTTATGCTCAGCCTTAGATGCCTGGAGATATACCAGGAAGGTTGCATGCCACTTGGCTTCTCTCCTATATACCCACTAATACGTGTTTGGTGTTTGCATGGTGTAACCCACTAATGAGGACATGTCAGATGTTCTGTGCTGCAGAGGGAATGTGACTGTTGAGCCACACCTAAAGAGCCGTATTTCTTTAGCTTGAACTGTAGATGTTCATGTTATTTCGTTTTACAAGTTCCTGGTTCACTGCCCACTGTGGCAGCCAAGATGTTAGCTAGTCACACCTGCATTTCTTCCCTTCTGTGCTGTCTGGCTAAGGGGAACTATACCCTGAACCAGTAAAGTGTGTTAGACAGGCATGCAAGGTTACCGTTACTGAGCATAATTCATTTTGATCATTGCTGTAGGTGGGTCCCCATGCAAGAGAATCATGCACAGAATTCACTTGCTTCATCAAGAAAACAGACCTCCCCATCTGGTACTGCCTATGTGCATTTGCCTCTTTCATTAATGTTGAGCATACCAGGCTGGTTGCCTGACCAGACCCAATTAGGCCTATCAGGTAGGCTAAGAGATATTCAAATTCAGCTCAGGCACTGGCTTGCTGAGTAAAAAAAACTTCCTTCACAGTCTACTCAGTTTGGCAAATTTGGTGTTCAACTAAATGAAAGCATCTGCAGAAAGTATCTTTCCCTCCAAATTAAAGATTTTTTCCTTGTGAATCCCCCCCAATTAACTTTTTTGGTTAATGGCTATTTTTGTTCATGTTTTGATGAAAAATCAAGATTTTACCAGAGCAAAGAAAAAACTTGTTTAGCCAGCTGTATTGCCCAATGCACTTGGGGCAGAACACATTGTATGTGTTCACCCAGGCAGCAAACAGTGGTCCTGAACCCAGGAGAGCAGGAGTTAAGGTTCACATTGCTGCAGACAGTATCCCTTCATCTCACCCATGAAGGTCCCCTCAGATTCTTAGCTGCTAAATTTAGCCAACTCTCTTCATCCCAATCCCTGGAGAGCAAAACTGTTATACACTAAGCAGCTCAAATGTTCAGGCATCACTAGCACCTTTTGCCATAAAGGGAAGTCCCAGCCTTTGTGCTGTGATGAGCCAAAGAGATCAATAAAGGCTCCTTCCTGCCTATGTCCTTTCAGTATCCCTGCCGGACACCACTTTAGCTTCAGCAAAGTAGATAATAGATTAATAACCACATCCTCACTGGCATGGAAAGGTCTGCTCTTTGCTTCACCTAAAAAATGGAGGTGTCAAGAAGTCTGGGTTTTTTTAAGCTTTCTCAAAATGTAGTGTATATAGGCTGACAGCGTTCACCGGTGCATCTGCCGAAACTCTTAATTCCAGCAAAATTCCTGACAGAATTCCCAAGATTTCTGACAGAGCCTCAGCATGACTCTGGCCAACCCCCAACCGAGTTTTTATAGGTTTCTTATAATTGCAACTTTGGTATAACATAAAGTTCTGGTTTTTGTCCTTTAGGGACAGCAGGACCACAGAGGCAGCTTCCATAGGGGGGTGATGGCAGAGCTGTGAGGATATATAACCCTTGACCTAACAGTTATATCCCAGTTTACCCCAGGCTTAGACAGACTTGAATATTGGGCTGATAATGCTAATCCACCTTCATGCAGTGCTTTGAGATCTGCAGAGGAAAAGGCATTGATGATAATCAATGCGAAACATTGGGGCAGGCCACATTTCTAAGTGGGGTAAACAGAGAGGGGTCCAAGTGTTTGCCGAGGAGGTATCCTACGATGGCTCTTATGATGATAGAGTGAGCCTTGCAATATTTCTCCTTTGCTTTAAAGCTTTGGTGCCAGGCAACTTAGACACAGGGACACATCCAGACTAGCCACCTACCTGCTTTTGCTTTGGAAAATTATCGGGCCCCAGCCCCGTAAGGGTCATCCAAACAGACAGGTCTAGGTGCCTGTACAGCAGGGGTGGGCAAAATGTGGCCCGTGGGCTGGATGCAGCCTGCCAGGCCATTCTATCCACCCTGCAGGGCCCTTAAAAATTTTTGAAAATTTATATTTATCTGCCCCTGGCTGCTTGTCATGTGGCCCCCGATGGCTTGCCAAAACTCAGTAAGCGGCCCTCCGCCCGAAATAATTGCCTGCCCCTGCTGTACAGTCAGTAGAGAGGCAAAGGCACTTACATCCTCTAGAAACAGAATGGGGCAGTTAGGTACTTCCAAAGGATGATTTGGAGAGCTCAGCCACAGCCCGTAAGAAACACTGGGCATAGAGGTGAACATGGCCCAGGCGTCACATTTGGCACTTCCATTCATTTGTGATCCAGAGGTCCTAGACCTTCTTGTAAGGGTAGGCACCTCCTGGTTTGTGTGAAACCAGTGTTCATATCTTGTGTTATCCCCTAGTGGATTGAGGGTCAACCTTTCTGGCAGGCATGCCACAAATTAGCTCTGTACCCTGCCCAGATGCCATTCCCATCCCCTTCCTCTGCCTGACCTTCTGCTTCTTGCCCAACTTCTACTATGCTGCCTGCCCCCCGTGCCCACCATCTGTCACATACAGTGGCTCTCTGTGCCAGCTGTCACCCATGCCACAGGTTGGCTACCTCTGGCCTACTGGTTACAGTACACAACCAGAAAGGAGACCTGGGTCATAGGCCCTTTTCAGCATGAGGGGATTCAAACCTACATTTCCTGCTTCCCAGGAGAGTACACTGTGCACCATGCCCTCAAACAGGCTAGGCAAGGGCCTTGTTGGAGGTGAACCACTGCACAACCAAGACTAGAAGAGTTTGGGGCCACCAGACAAGCAAGCACTTTGGTGAAGGCACTCTCAGCAAACGAGTGGTGGGGGCTTGAGGGGGGTCAGTGACTCCCTGCTCCCAGAGTTATTTCTGGTTTTTATCCAATGACTGTCTAATGCAAAAAAAACCTCTAGAATTGTTTTATGCTCTCATATTTTATAAGCTTCTTACTTGTTGGAACCTTCCATGAATTTTGAGCCCTTCGTCTGGGAATTGGGAGCTTAGATACTGTCTACAGGCCTAACCAATGCTGGGCCTAGTGTTTCGTCTGACAGCACGCCAGCATTTTAAGCAAAGTGAAGTATTGCATGTATGACCCACTGCTGAGTATGGGTTACAGGGCTTCTCAGTGTTCAGTCCATGAAGGAGACAGGCCTCTTATGGCTGCAGCTTTGGAGACATGACTCATTAGTGTATGCTAATGTAGCTCATGCTTGAAGTTGGAAGGACCCCAGTCCAATTATTGGGTATTCAGTCAAGATGACAGTTGTGACCTCTATGGTTAACTTAGCTACATAAAGAATGTATATATCTTGTCAGAGGTGCTTTTAATAAGACTGGGGTCTGCCTGAGCCTTTATAAGCTTGGCCTTTTCCAGTTACAAAACCAAGCACACCAATTCAAGCAAACTGAGGCTTGAAAACCATGTCAAAATTTTGAATTTCACCACAAAAAAGGGGAATAATCACCTGTTATTCCCATTTCCAGAAACGAATAGCTTGTCACTTCATAAGTCTAACATTTCCCACAAAATAAACAAACGATTCTCATTGAGTGTAAAGTAACACATATTTTATCCCACCGCAAACATCATAACTCTGACCGGCCCTGAATGCAAGTCCTTCAGCAGTAACCGCAAAGTATAAGCACTGCAAAAAACCTTTTGAAAAAGGTATATAAAAATGATATATACATTCAATTGACAAAATTGATCTATCCCGTCTGGGTCTTTCAGCTGTTTGTGGAGTACGAATAGATAGAGTCAGGTGGGCAGGTAACTGGGGATATAAAATGGCAGGTGAGAACACATATCACAGATAGGTCATAGCAGTCAGCGAAGTGTGTAGCAGCTACATTTACTACTTTGCCGGGCCTCCAGTTAACCCCAGCTCTTGCCCCACCTAGATCAGAGGCACGGTAACCAGAAAAAGAATCCACCAGTTTTGCATAAGGGTTGATGGAGCCCGGAGCATCTGATTCAATCTGCGATCGTGGCAGATGTCACTTTCAGGCAGGGCCGGGCAGCTGTGGGCCCGCGCAGCTGCTCGCCAGCTCAAAGGGAGAACGCGAGTAGAGTTGCCAGTTTAGTCATGAAGCCGGGCTCTTGTTTTTTCTCCTCAGGAGGCTCTGTCGGTGGTGAGTGACGACCAATCCCTCTTTGACTCCACGTACGGTGCTGCCGCTCACCTCCCCAAGGCGGACATGACAGCCTCAGGGAACCCTGACTATGGCCAGCCGCACAAAATCAACCCTTTACCTCCCCAGCAGGAGTGGATCAATCAGCCAGTCAGGGTCAACGTCAAGAGGGAGTATGATCACATGAATGGATCCAGGTAAGGAAGGACACAAGTATGTCCATGTACATCCATTTGTCCATCTGGCATGTTACTGTTTCAGCGAAACCTTGAAATGTGTATAAAAGGTATCTCATCCATATATATAGTCTAGGACTTCAGTTATACACATTCAACCCGTTACTTAGGTTCATGTCTTGCTTCTGTTGGGTTCATGGGGGCTCTTGTCATTGACTTTAATAGAGTCAGGATCTGTCCTCTTGTACTCTTGTGATGACTATCTCCATCTCCAGGATCCTTGACTGTTGTAAGAGTTGAGATTTGAAGCCTCCCAGCTGTAGGTGTTGATGCAGGCACTGACATAGATGTTGCATCGTGCCATTGTATCCAGGGTCCTACTGGTGCTACAGTGCACTGACTTCCCAGAGTAGGTCAGCAGTGAAACCAGCACTCCCAGGGGATGCTACTGTACTGCTGGAGATATTGTTGGCCATTCAGTAAGTGGTGCCTTTCACTCTGTGTTAACTCAACATCACCAAAGCACAAGGGGCCATCACATGGGTAGACATGCTGGCTTTTGGAAAAGCCAGAAAACAGAAATTTGGGTCATCTGTGACCGTCTCCAAGGTATATTAGTGTAAAAGCTTTCACGTCCTCTGGATGAACTGAGTATCCTATTATTTGAACTGGTCAGGAAAGAATTTTCCCATCCCATGACAATTTTCAAGATTTCAATATTTTTCCCCATCCCAAATTGGGATGAAAATCAAAATATTGAAACTTTCTGCTAATTAAAAATGTGGGGGAAAAATCAGATCAGGTCAATCAACACATTTTCATTCAATAATTTTTAAATATTTCAATTAAAAAAAAATTAAAACTTTTTATAGTTCACTGTAAATTAGCTGAGACTGAAATACAACATCAGTTTGAACTAAACCCAGAGCTTTTTCATTTAAAAAGTCTTGAAAGTGTTAGTAATAGCAAAACTTTTTTCCAGTGCTTTTCCTAAATGGGAAACTAGTCAGCATTGGCCCTGTTCTGGAAAACAGGTTTAGTTTCAACAAATGGGCAATTCCCAATGAAAAAAGAAATGTCTCATTAAAAAAAATTCCTAACCAGCTGCCATCCAAGTGCTAGGTGGTTGTTATTAGAGACCAGCAGTTTGGATGGCTCTGTGTCAAGTGCCAAATGACCAATGCACTTGCAATCTCTCATGACTCTATCATGAGTCTTGTGATATTTGGAATTTCCCCCAAAACCACTGTTCCTGGCATACAGAGAATATCGGGAGCTCTCCACTTTTGGATTATAAAAAGGTGTTTCCAGTTCTTCTGGTTGTGGAGAAAAGATTGAAAACATGGCCCAGGTATGGCCTAACTATTACAAAATCTAGAAGGCAGATTAAAAACAACCCAAAGCGCGTTGTTGTTGTTATTCTTAATCTCATGTTTAAAACAGTCACATGGGGGAGGGAGGGGCTGACTCGTGGTTTTGAGATGCCTTCATGTTGGCTGTGGCACCAAAGGGGGCAAGGAAGAGTCGAAGCGAATTGCACGTGTGACTTGAGATTTTTGCACCTAAGTCTCCAGAAATGAAAACACTGCACAAGTCTTTGCGTCCCATTTTAGCTTCCATTACAGGCTTTGTTCTAGCCATGGATCCCAGTCGCAGCTGGGTGGGCTCAGCAAAGGGGTTCTCGTCTTTGCCTCCTTACGCTTACAGGAGTCTGTCCTGTTAGCCTAGCTGTTTTCCTTGGTTTTTAAGAAGTTTGATCATGAAGATCGTTTGAAATAGGAATCATTGCAGCCTACCACTTTTAAATCTCTGGGGAGAAGTTTATGGGTACCGTGCTGTAAAGAGGGAGAACGATACCTTTCTGTTTCACTGGCTTGATTCACTGGTGTTTTAACACACACAGGAAAAGGCACTTCAGAAATTGTGCGTGCAGATATTCGTGAAACTTTGCTTTATACACTGGGCCTGCTCAATCCCAAACTGTCTTCCTGGAAATAGCATCTCCTCCAGCCATTCGAAAAGGGGCTGGCAACATCCGTGCTTGTCAGAAACAGAAAAGCTTGTTTTAGATGCTCCTAATTAAACCAATACGAGAACATAGAACAAAACTGAAACCTCCCCAAGCCTTGCTCGGTTGATAACCCGTTAGCCTGAGAGCTCCAGGAGATGGAGGCCCAGCATCTGCTTCGATGGCACACCCAACCCCACTTCCTCCTCCCGGCTGACTTCTCTGCCCCCTTCCCCCTGCCTCAGCCCCAGTTCATTGTTATGGCTTGGACCACTCCAGTCACCTGTTCCTCTGCCCATCAGCTGCCTGGCAATACTGAGCGGCAAACGCCAATCTCAATACAGATTAACTCGAACTGTGGACTGAATAACAAAACCTCTCCCCTCCCACCCTTCTCTCTCTCTCTCTTGTTTCTCAAGCGCACCCTCTTACCGGGCTCCAGCTGCCTCATTAGAGAGAGCAGCCTTTATTCTGCGCTTCACCTGTGCTTGAAGCACTAGTGTTTTCTGCATGACAGGAGAATGGCTTGTACACACTAGGGAGTTATAAAGCTATATGAATCCTGACAGTGGAGGGAGCTGGATGGGGGTAAGTGACAGTGTCCAGCTTTTCTTCTTTTTCTTAACAACTAGAGACCGGGCCAGTTGTGGTGACATTTAGTGCGCTGAGTTGCCTTGGTCTCAGTTAGGGCGGGACAATGGATCTTAGAGGATCAAAGAGCTTTCCCATGGCTGTTCTCGAGACCTGTCCTCCCACCTGATACACTGCAGCCACAGCAGGCCTTTTAGCCTGCAAACACTATTTCAAGAAGAACCTGCTTTCCAGTCCAAATCAAATCTGCCTGTTTCACATCCAAAATAGGGGCTGGGGATATGCATTTGGCATATATTTAATTGTGTATATTGCATATTTAATCAGTGGCAGCTCAGCACCTGTCTTTTCCTTGAGACTGGGAACTATAGACCAGTGTAGGATTTGGGGGCTAGAAGCTTTGTGAAAGTGGCAAGCTATATTTGCAGATCAGAGTGTAATTCTTGCAGTGACAAATTATGTGTGCACACATGAGCAGCAGGTTGCACAGGCAAGCGTCCCCTGCCAGAGTCAAATTTTGCTGTGCTTAACATGTCTGAACAGGAAGTGGTTAAAATCTACAAACATGGAGAATTTTAAATTCTTGAGCACTTTAAGCCACCTTGTGCATCAGAAGTGGGGTATGGTCTTGTGGTTATAGCACCGGCCTATCACTAAGGAAGTGGAGGTTCCAGCTACTCCACAAATCCACTTTATCACCTGGAGTAAATCATTTAATCTCTGTGCATCGATCCTCCATGTGTAAATGCAGAAAATAACCTTTCTTTTCTCCCTGCCTTTGTTTCTTTTGTCTTTTTCGATTGGAATCAACTTAGGAAAGGGGCGAGCTCATGTAACATGCCCAGCTGAACAGCCCCCTATTCCAGTTAAGAGCTGTACATGCTCTCGTGATGCAAATAGAGCTGGTTTGATCTTTTAAGAATATAATTAAAGTTTTAATGTTGATTATTTAAAACGATTCGTTTGGAATTTTGAACTTCAGTGAAAAAATATGACAAGTATTTTGCAAAAATGCAGGTCACAGATGCATCCCATTTTTTCAACGAGGCATTCTCATTGTCAATAAAATATTTGAATTGCATTGGGAAAATATATATGAATTTTTCACAAAAGTTTTCATCAGAAGTCCCAAATTTTCATTTAACCCTAATACAAAAAATAAAGCAGAGCACAGAAATCTCAAAACTCTGCAGCCTTTAGCATTGTAATAGAGATAAAAGCCTTTGAAAATACGTTTCTTCTGTACGCCATGACGACAGTATCAATATAAGCATGTAAATAATGTGGGATAATATTTCAAAGTGTTTGTTGTGTGCATGTGTCTGAAAGAATTTAGCCGTATAATTCCCACTGACATTAATGAGTTTTGCCTGGCTAGGATAATCAAGTCAAGCTTTGAAAATATCTCCCAACCCCAAAATATTAAAATAACATTAAAGTTCAGGGAACTCATAACAATTTTTATGGCATAATAAGTGTTGCCATGAACAATTTCTAAGTAAAACAAAAGGACTCCCTGCACTCAGTATGTCTTTTCTGTTTTCTTTTCACTGAAGTCTATAAAAATAGGAGATATCCCTTTAAGTAGCATGTGTGCCCTCTGGTGGTGCACACTTGGTGTGCTGTTTTAGCCACAGTAGCAGTGTGTTTTGGTGTAAATAGCTCTTGCATGTTGTGTGCATGGAGTAAATACAGTATTTGGAACCTACTATGCCCATATAGTTTCCTTATACCATTATTGTCATTGTGTAAAAGGGAAAACAACATCCTTTCTGTAATAGGAATCAGAACTCATGGCATCTTTTATTAGACCAACTAGATATTTGCAAAAAAAATTCTTTATTTGCAGGCTTTTGGGCACAGGCACCCTTTGTCAGGCGTAGGATATTGCAAAATTTGTAAAAGTTTTCCTAGTTAGAAACGAAAATTCATATTTCATTTCTCTAATCTCGCTCTTTTTCCATATGTCTTGCTGCACCCTTTTCTAGCCTCACAGTGCAGACTCAGTAATCAAAACTAAGTTTCTTAGGGCATCTCAATCCATCATATGGGCATTTATATCAGAATTTGACCTCAGTTGAAATACTGGATGACTGTTACAAGAAGCTTGGGATAGCTTTGGCCTATCGCTGTAAACCAGCAGAAAGCAGTATCTGCTGTCTCTTCCTTCCTCAGATTCTGGGGAAATTTCAAGTATGAAGTTTATAGCTCAGACCAGGGAATCAGGACTTAAATACATAAACTACCTAATTGCATAGTCAGGGCAGTGTTGATTTATGGCTATGGACTGGAGCTGAGCAGATAGGATTCAGGTCTCAAGTTTCCTACAGGTTCATGGCGAGTCCTTGGACAAGTCACTTAATTTCTTTGTGGTTCAGATTCCCATCTGTAATGGGGAGATAATCCTCCTCCCCCAAGGATT